CCTGGTCTTGACGCTGTGAACGAGCCAGCGGGCGGCGAGGAGTCAGTTTTAGTGTTCATCATTCACATCATGTTCAAGCTACAGGTGCACAGGCGGCAACAATTTAACCCTCCTGGGGATGTGTACCCCGATGTACAGAGGAACACCGAACTAACAATTAAGTACTTCCCCACCCGTGAAAGATGTGAGAATGTTACCAGCGTGCCGGGCGCGCCACAAGAAGTAAGCACCCCCTCCCCCAGCAGCTCAATGGGTGGAGTGGCTTCTGTAAAGGTTATTTAGTGGTAGCGCGTGCGTGTGTGTACCTGCCAATCAACACAGCTTCCAACGATAGGACATGAGACCGCACGCATGTCACTCCCAATCTATACAGCATCAAAGCTAAGGTGACACCTTCAACCGCAAGCTGACCTCCTCAACAAAGCGCCCACAACACCCAGATGCCTGCTGCCGTTCCGGACTCATGGCAGATAGCAGCCTTACTTACTTCAGCTGTACCGCATATCAGCGGAAAGGTATCCGAGATTCCCATCCTCGCACGGCGGCATACCTTTTCAGAGCCGTACCCAAATCACCATGAAGGGTGTGGGCAATGGATGGGAAGGTGGCGTTTTATTTCGTTACCCTTGCCCAGCAGGATGATCATTAATGCAGCGAGTGTAGCTGCGTGATCACGCGAGTGGGTGAGGATGCGGCAATGACATGCATGCCTGCCCCTGTCACCTCCTGTCGCTGTAGATGGATGACGGTGGCGTCTTCGTGGCTAAGCCGTAGTGTGTTGACGGTGCTGCTGCCATTAGGGGGGTCATAGTAGCTACAATACAGTACACATAATTTATCTGGCAAGGGCCTACCGCGTTGTGCTGCCCTATCGATCGTTGCCTTGGCCGTCTATGGCCGCTGGGGTGCGGACTATCCCATGGCCGCTGTCTAATCCATCAGGTCAGTCACAGGCCAGAGCTAGGCCTTCCTGGTAAGACCATCGACCGACCAATCAGTAGCATTGTATGGCAACGCACAGGCGTGCATACAAGCAAGGGCAACAACTGCCGTCCTACATGCCTGCATATGTTGCAAGCAGAGCAGGGTAGCCCCGAGCCCGGGGGCCGCACGGCCTAAGAGCACTGACGGCTGTTATACGCCACACCAACTAACCAGACCGCGAACAAACAACACACTGAAGCATAAAGCGACAACTCCTATCCCAAACATACACACAAGGCAAGAAAGCGGCTACTTTTCTTAACAAAAGGCAAGAAAGCTCTTCTTGCCGACAAAATGCACGCACGAGCCGTCAACAGGGCATGTCAACCTGGCCCCGCGGCCAGAAGAGGAGCAAGCGTGCCGCACCAACATATGGTTGTCCGCTGCTGGGATCCACGCATGGCTAGCCCGCTCTGTGTCCAATCAAGCACCATAACCTCCGTCGGGCGGACATGCGGACATGGTCATCCGTGCGTTAAAGAACAGTGGCATGCATGCAGCACCTACATACATAAGGTTTTAATTGCTGTCTCTCTCCCATTTATTGTTGCTTTTACGTACGATACAAGGCTAGGGCGGCAAAAGGATGAACCATGTCTTTGGTTTGGCCGCAAAACGGATGACTGGAGATTATGGGGATCGATCCCATGACCTCACGCATGCGAAGCGCGCGCTCTACCACTGAGCTAAATCCCCTGGATGACAATAATGTGAATGGAATTCACCAGAACATGAATGGGCCCCCTAAGCCCTGTACGGCACCCCCTTTTGAGGCCCCAGGAAGGCCCATTGCAATTGCAAACCATGGCTAAGGGTGAACCAACCTGGTCTTGACGCTGTGAACGAGCCAGCGGGCGGCGAGGAGTCAGTTTTAGTGTTCATCATTCACATCATGTTCAAGCTACAGGTGCACAGGCGGCAACAATTTAACCCTCCTGGGGATGTGTACCCCGATGTACAGAGGAACACCGAACTAACAATTAAGTACTTCCCCACCCGTGAAAGATGTGAGAATGTTACCAGCGTGCCGGGCGCGCCACAAGAAGTAAGCACCCCCTCCCCCAGCAGCTCAATGGGTGGAGTGGCTTCTGTAAAGGTTATTTAGTGGTAGCGCGTGCGTGTGTGTACCTGCCAATCAACACAGCTTCCAACGATAGGACATGAGACCGCACGCATGTCACTCCCAATCTATACAGCATCAAGGCTAAGGTGACACCTTCAACCGCAAGCTGACCTCCTCAACAAAGCGCCCACAACACCCAGATGCCTGCTGCCGTTCCGGACTCATGGCAGATAGCAGCCTTACCTACTTCAGCTGTACCGCATATCAGCGGAAAGGTATCCGAGATTCCCATCCTCGCACGGCGGCATACCTTTTCAAAGCCGTACCCAAATCACCATGAAGGGTGTGGGCAATGGATGGGAAGGTGGCGTTTTATTTCGTTACCCTTGCCCAGCAGGATGATCATTAATGCAGCGAGTGTAGCTGCGTGATCACGCGAGTGGGTGAGGATGCGGCAATGACATGCATGCCTGCCCCTGTCACCTCCTGTCGCTGTAGACGGATGACGGTGGCGTCTTCGTGGCTAAGCCGTAGTGTGTTGACGGTGCTGCTGCCATTAGGGGGGTCATAGTAGCTACAATACAGTACACATAATTTATCTGGCAAGGGCCTACCGCGTTGTGCCGCCCTATCGATCGTTGGCTTGGCCGTCTATGGCCGCTGGGGTGCGGACTATCCCATGGCCGCTGTCTAATCCATCAGGTCAGTCACAGGCCAGAGCTAGGCCTTCCTGGTAAGACCATCGACCGACCAATCAGTAGCATTGTATGGCAACGCACAGGCGTGCATACAAGCAAGGGCAACAACTGCCGTCCTACATGCCTGCATATGTTGCAAGCAGAGCAGGGTAGCCCCGAGCCCGGGGGCCGCACGGCCTAAGAGCACTGACGGCTGTTATACGCCACACCAACTAACCAGACCGCGAACAAACAACACACTGAAGCATAAAGCGACAACTCCTATCCCAAACATACACACAAGGCAAGAAAGCGGCTACTTTTCTTAACAAAAGGCAAGAAAGCTCTTCTTGCCGACAAAATGCACGCACGAGCCGTCAACAGGGCATGTCAACCTGGCCCCGCGGCCAGAAGAGGAGCAAGCGTGCCGCACCAACATATGGTTGTCCGCTGCTGGGATCCACGCATGGCTAGCCCGCTCTGTGTCCAATCAAGCACCATAACCTCCGTCGGGCGGACATGCGGACATGGTCATCCGTGCGTTAAAGAACAGTGGCATGCATGCAGCACCTACATACATAAGGTTTTAATTGCTGTCTCTCTCCCATTTATTGTTGCTTTTACGTACGATACAAGGCTAGGGCGGCAAAAGGATGAACCATGTCTTTGGTTTGGCCGCAAAACGGATGACTGGAGATTATGGGGATCGATCCCATGACCTCACGCATGCGAAGCGCGCGCTCTACCACTGAGCTAAATCCCCTGGATGACAATAATGTGAATGGAATTCACCAGAACATGAATGGGCCCCCTAAGCCCTGTACGGCACCCCCTTTTGAGGCCCCAGGAAGGCCCATTGCAATTGCAAACCATGGCTAAGGGTGAACCAACCTGGTCTTGACGCTGTGAACGAGCCAGCGGGCGGCGAGGAGTCAGTTTTAGTGTTCATCATTCACATCATGTTCAAGCTACAGGTGCACAGGCGGCAACAATTTAACCCTCCTGGGGATGTGTACCCCGATGTACAGAGGAACACCGAACTAACAATTAAGTACTTCCCCACCCGTGAAAGATGTGAGAATGTTACCAGCGTGCCGGGCGCGCCACAAGAAGTAAGCACCCCCTCCCCCAGCAGCTCAATGGGTGGAGTGGCTTCTGTAAAGGTTATTTAGTGGTAGCGCGTGCGTGTGTGTACCTGCCAATCAACACAGCTTCCAACGATAGGACATGAGACCGCACGCATGTCACTCCCAATCTATACAGCATCAAGGCTAAGGTGACACCTTCAACCGCAAGCTGACCTCCTCAACAAAGCGCCCACAACACCCAGATGCCTGCTGCCGTTCCGGACTCATGGCAGATAGCAGCCTTACCTACTTCAGCTGTACCGCATATCAGCGGAAAGGTATCCGAGATTCCCATCCTCGCACGGCGGCATACCTTTTCAAAGCCGTACCCAAATCAGCCCATTCTTAGTTCCTGTCGACCACCGCCTTTTACCCTATGTAACCTGATGCTGCAGTCGCACACGGGGTCTGGCCACGGGATGCTGGCAGTGGGCACCTTGTCACCCTCAGCGACATGTCAAATGCGCACGGGATTGCGTACACGGACCTGCTCGCGGGTAAGTGCGGGGCGGCAACATGTTAACGGGGCCCGGCAAGATAGTTGGCCGACAGGATTGTAAGCAGGGGGCGCTGTACAACAGCACTAGGCGGTGTAGTACAGTTTTAGTGCATTCTTTAGTACAGTGTGTAGTACATTCTTCGGGGTTGACGGGGGCATGCTGATACCACACATACCGATACCCATACCCATGCAGGCGGCGTCGTCTACAACATGCTTACGGTAGAGCCGGGTGACAACGTGCTGTATGCTGGCTTGCCCACGGAGGACGGTAACATCGCGGCCGTGGGCATGACTTTCAACTTGGAGCAGCTGCGGTTGCTGGTGGAGGGGGCGGCGAAGTACGACTACCTAAAGACGGATGCGGCAGCTCGGAAGGCAAGAGCTGCTAACCTGTACGAGCTTCCATCGCTCGAGGAGCTGTGGATGAAGGAGTGCCGCCCGTAAGCATTGCCTTTGCATCCGTGCTCTGGTTCATTGTGACTAGCACGATATCAGACAGGCTAAACCATGCTCCATTGTGATGCGCTACCTGGACAATTGTGGGATGCAGCTGAAATGAATCGCTTCATTGTTCCATCGTCCCTTTACATGCCTTGATGCTATGCATGCAACTGCTATCATAACACGCATCCGCTGCTTTCCTCAGTTACTCGTCCACCGCCAAGGCCAACGAATGTGGCAAGGGCAAGGGCGTGAACGACCCGAGGAAGGATTTGCAGGACAAGGAGGCTTACGTGGCAAATCTCAAGACGATGGCCATGCGCGGGTCCAGCCTCTACACGGGATACGCGATTGTGGGCGGGGGTGCGTCTCAAGCTGCTAGCTATACGGAGAAGCTCAGCAAGTCCTGCAAGGAGTACTTTGAGTCCAAGGGGCAGGTGAACGGGGCGTGGGCTCGGATACGGTATGTTGTACATATGGGCACAGATAAGGGTATGATTCATAATGTTAGGAAGGCGTAATGTTAGATTTGCCCGATAATTGTGCATGGGACAGTGTATGGTGACTGCTTGCTTGTTCCTTTGCGACATTCTATACCCAACACAGTGTACCGGCCAAGTTATTCTTCGTGTCGTGTCGTTGCCACTCATGCCACAGGCGGATGAGGAGGTTGCAGCGGCAATGGAGGGCGTAAGGGGTAGGTCCACCCAATGCACCCACTTGCAGTACGTACTGGAGGCGGGGCTCTTGTACAGCAAGGACGGGCAGGGACAGTACCCTATCGACTTGCTGAACAAGTGCCCTATCAAGGGCAATGCTGGTAGGGCCGCCGCGAGGATTCGGCAGTCCATGTACTTGCAGTACGCTGGGCGCCTTGGCGCGCTGTGCAAGAAGGATGCTCCAATCGCACCGTTGGGGCTGCTACTGGCGGTGGGAGCTTCATCCTCGTACAGGGAAGCTGGGGAGCTTATCAACCAGTACCGGGCGGCTAGGAAATCTGGTGGGTCACATGCAACGGCTGCTTGGGTCTCGGGCGTAGGGTGGGCGCTTGCTTTCACTGGGGACATGCAACCACAGTGGTGTTTTCCCAGCGCAAAGAACGTGCTTTTTACGTAACACACTGGCGCCATATGCAGGCAATCCGCCCGCTCGGCCAGTGGTGGCATTGGCGCGGCGCTTCTTTGGCATCGCGCCGGAGCCTCCGTCCGTCAACACAATCCCCAACACGGCTGGTGGCGTAGGCGTTCGGATTGAGGTCGACGGAGGTGGCGGTGCTGCTGGTGGCGCCACAGGCGGTGCCGCAGGGGGTGCTGGAGGTGCTGGTGAGGGAGTGGCCGCGCCCTTGGTGAGCATATACGGGGGGGGGGAGCCGTGGGAAGGACTATTCTGGTGACCTTGATCTTACAATCACATGGCTTGTTTGAGAGTATGCTTGCTTGCGGTTAACAGTTACATGCTGCCTATAATGGGCCCTTCAGGATCAAGGTGCGGCCCAGCCTGGTGCGGCGGCCACCACAGCGCACAGCGACGAAGAGGTACGTCAAAGTGAAGCCTTCGTGGGTAGACATTTGGCTAAGGACTGCATGGCTCACACAGCTCGCATCTTCTGAGCATTTGAAACGGGTATTGGGTGCAATGTGCTGAACCGCCCCTTTCTTATCCCATGTTGTCCCGCAGGAGGAGCCGGATCTGGCGCTGATTAACTTGGATGTCTTTGGTGTCGAGCCGCCAGTGCAGCAGCGTGCGCCACGGGGTCGGCAGCGGGCGTCTGGTCTGGATGACGACCTCGGAGCCCGTGGTGGCAGGAAGAAGCAGCGGACCGGGGCTGCTAAGGTGGCGAAGAGCGGTCGTGGTGGTGGTAGCGGGAGGGGAGAAGTTGGCGGTGGAAGAGGGCGTGGGCGGGGCGGCAGGGGCGGGGGGAGGGTGGCGGCAGTGGTTGAGTCGGAAGAAGAGGAGGATGGGGGTGACGAGGAAATGGAGGACGACGAGGAGGCAAGCGGGGAGTCTACTGGGGAGGGGCAGGAGGATGACGTGAGTGTCCGGGATACATCGGATGACAGCAGCAGCAGCAGCGGCGGTGGAAGCAGTGGCAGCAGCGGCGAACGGGCGGGCGGAAACCGGCAGCAGGACCGTAGGCAGCAGGAACTAGAGCAGCAGCAGCAGCGGGGTAAGAAGCAGCAGGCAGCAGTTGGGGCGGCAAAGGTGCCCAAGGCAGGAACTGGGTCGAGTGGCCAGTCTCGGCGTGTGCGGGCTAACCGCTAGATAGAGGCAGACTGGGAGTAGGTTGTTTGCAATGGGCATAGAGTAGCTGTGAGTGGAAACATGGTTCGTAGATAGGTGATCCAAAGTTGGGTTGGGTTGGCTTCACGTGGTGTACCTTTTGTATTGGTTTGGCCGTGATTGCTTGGATGATTTATTATTATAAGCTTGGATGACTTGATAGCACAAACCTGATACCCATGACCATACTTCTTATCTACCTGCAATTTTTGACGTGCATGATCCTATTTCGTTGCAGGGGCGTTGGAGTAGGTTAGTTCAGGGACTGTAGGCAAGATGTTTGATATAGATAGGCAATGGAGTAGATATTGGACTATGGTAAGCTAGCTTATGGATTGCATTGGGGGCGTGGGGCTTCCAGGGGCGTGGTCCCTTCGTATAATGGTGGTGAGCATTCGTAAAAAGGAGGAAGGGACTAGGCTCATATGCAGCTTCTGACCATGTAACGAAATGGTGGAGTTCAAAATCATATGACGCATCTCCTACGATTGTCTAACAAGCTGCGTATCCTTACTGACAGGGCTCCGTATTCCCTCGTGGGCTATCCGTAAAATTTCGTATTCCATCCGTATAATAGTGCCGTATTCTTGCAGTCCCCATCCGTAAAATGAGAGTTGCTTCCGTATTCGAGGTACAGGGGGCATAGCATGCTACCGCCTGTTTGTGCTACACGTGCTCCGGACACTATGCGGAAGTGTTCACATTCACTCTAGTGCATGTAACCGTGGGACTCCTGCATTACAGGCAATTCGTAAACCTTTCCCCACCATTCGTATCCCTTTCCGTATTCTCTGTCCGCCTTTACGGAAGATACCCTTCCGTAAAATGGGGTCAAAATACGGAAAGGTAGACCCCCATTTTACGAATGGGTGGACCCTGGTTTTCCCAGAGTGTGATTTGGGTACGGCTCTGAAAAGGTATGCCGCCGTGCGAGGATGGGAATCTCGGATACCTTTCCGCTGATATGCGGTACAGCTGAAGTAGGTAAGGCTGCTATCTGCCATGAGTCCGGAACGGCAGCAGGCATCTGGGTGTTGTGGGCGCTTTGTTGAGGAGGTCAGCTTGCGGTTGAAGGTGTCACCTTAGCCTTGATGCTGTATAGATTGGGAGTGACATGCGTGCGGTCTCATGTCCTATCGTTGGAAGCTGTGTTGATTGGCAGGTACACACACGCACGCGCTACCACTAAATAACCTTTACAGAAGCCACTCCACCCATTGAGCTGCTGGGGGAGGGGGTGCTTACTTCTTGTGGCGCGCCCGGCACGCTGGTAACATTCTCACATCTTTCACGGGTGGGGAAGTACTTAATTGTTAGTTCGGTGTTCCTCTGTACATTGGGGTACACATCCCCAGGAGGGTTAAATTGTTGCCGCCTGTGCACCTGTAGCTTGAACATGATGTGAATGATGAACACTAAAACTGACTCCTCGCCGCCCGCTGGCTCGTTCACAGCGTCAAGACCAGGTTGGTTCACCCTTAGCCATGGTTTGCAATTGCAATGGGCCTTCCTGGGGCCTCAAAAGGGGGTGCCGTACAGGGCTTAGGGGGCCCATTCATGTTCTGGTGAATTCCATTCACATTATTGTCATCCAGGGGATTTAGCTCAGTGGTAGAGCGCGCGCTTCGCATGCGTGAGGTCATGGGATCGATCCCCATAATCTCCAGTCATCCGTTTTGCGGCCAAACCAAAGACATGGTTCATCCTTTTTCCGCCCTAGCCTTGTATCGTACGTAAAAGCAACAATAAATGGGAGAGAGACAGCAATTAAAACCTTATGTATGTAGGTGCTGCATGCATGCCACTGTTCTTTAACGCACGGATGACCATGTCCGCATGTCCGCCCGACGGAGGTTATGGTGCTTGATTGGACACAGAGCGGGCTAGCCATGCGTGGATCCCAGCAGCGGACAACCATATGTTGGTGCGGCACGCTTGCTCCTCTTCTGGCCGCGGGGCCAGGTTGACATGCCCTGTTGACGGCTCGTGCGTGCATTTTGTCGGCAAGAAGAGCTTTCTTGCCTTTTGTTAAGAAAAGTAGCCGCTTTCTTGCCTTGTGTGTATGTTTGGGATAGGAGTTGTCGCTTTATGCTTCAGTGTGTTGTTTGTTCGCGGTCTGGTTAGTTGGTGTGGCGTATAACAGCCGTCAGTGCTCTTAGGCCGTGCGGCCCCCGGGCTCGGGGCTACCCTGCTCTGCTTGCAACATATGCAGGCATGTAGGACGGCAGTTGTTGCCCTTGCTTGTATGCACGCCTGTGCGTTGCCATACAATGCTACTGATTGGTCGGTCGATGGTCTTACCAGGAAGGCCTAGCTCTGGCCTGTGACTGACCTGATGGATTAGACAGCGGCCATGGGATAGTCCGCACCCCAGCGGCCATAGACGGCCAAGCCAACGATCGATAGGGCGGCACAACGCGGTAGGCCCTTGCCAGATAAATTATGTGTACTGTATTGTAGCTACTATGACCCCCCTAATGGCAGCAGCACCGTCAACACACTACGGCTTAGCCACGAAGACGCCACCGTCATCCGTCTACAGCGACAGGAGGTGACAGGGGCAGGCATGCATGTCATTGCCGCATCCTCACCCACTCGCGTGATCACGCAGCTACACTCGCTGCATTAATGATCATCCTGCTGGGCAAGGGTAACGAAATAAAACGCCACCTTCCCATCCATTGCCCACACCCTTCATGGTGATTTGGGTACGGCTTTGAAAAGGTATGCCGCCGTGCGAGGATGGGAATCTCGGATACCTTTCCGCTGATATGCGGTACAGCTGAAGTAGGTAAGGCTGCTATCTGCCATGAGTCCGGAACGGCAGCAGGCATCTGGGTGTTGTGGGCGCTTTGTTGAGGAGGTCAGCTTGCGGTTGAAGGTGTCACCTTAGCCTTGATGCTGTATAGATTGGGAGTGACATGCGTGCGGTCTCATGTCCTATCGTTGGAAGCTGTGTTGATTGGCAGGTACACACACGCACGCGCTACCACTAAATAACCTTTACAGAAGCCACTCCACCCATTGAGCTGCTGGGGGAGGGGGTGCTTACTTCTTGTGGCGCGCCCGGCACGCTGGTAACATTCTCACATCTTTCACGGGTGGGGAAGTACTTAATTGTTAGTTCGGTGTTCCTCTGTACATCGGGGTACACATCCCCAGGAGGGTTAAATTGTTGCCGCCTGTGCACCTGTAGCTTGAACATGATGTGAATGATGAACACTAAAACTGACTCCTCGCCGCCCGCTGGCTCGTTCACAGCGTCAAGACCAGGTTGGTTCACCCTTAGCCATGGTTTGCAATTGCAATGGGCCTTCCTGGGGCCTCAAAAGGGGGTGCCGTACAGGGCTTAGGGGGCCCATTCATGTTCTGGTGAATTCCATTCACATCATTGTCATCCAGGGGATTTAGCTCAGTGGTAGAGCGCGCGCTTCGCATGCGTGAGGTCATGGGATCGATCCCCATAATCTCCAGTCATCCGTTTTGCGGCCAAACCAAAGACATGGTTCATCCTTTTTCCGCCCTAGCCTTGTATCGTACGTAAAAGCAACAATAAATGGGAGAGAGACAGCAATTAAAACCTTATGTATGTAGGTGCTGCATGCATGCCACTGTTCTTTAACGCACGGATGACCATGTCCGCATGTCCGCCCGACGGAGGTTATGGTGCTTGATTGGACACAGAGCGGGCTAGCCATGCGTGGATCCCAGCAGCGGACAACCATATGTTGGTGCGGCACGCTTGCTCCTCTTCTGGCCGCGGGGCCAGGTTGACATGCCCTGTTGACGGCTCGTGCGTGCATTTTGTCGGCAAGAAGAGCTTTCTTGCCTTTTGTTAAGAAAAGTAGCCGCTTTCTTGCCTTGTGTGTATGTTTGGGATAGGAGTTGTCGCTTTATGCTTCAGTGTGTTGTTTGTTCGCGGTCTGGTTAGTTGGTGTGGCGTATAACAGCCGTCAGTGCTCTTAGGCCGTGCGGCCCCCGGGCTCGGGGCTACCCTGCTCTGCTTGCAACATATGCAGGCATGTAGGACGGCAGTTGTTGCCCTTGCTTGTATGCACGCCTGTGCGTTGCCATACAATGCTACTGATTGGTCGGTCGATGGTCTTACCAGGAAGGCCTAGCTCTGGCCTGTGACTGACCTGATGGATTAGACAGCGGCCATGGGATAGTCCGCACCCCAGCGGCCATAGACGGCCAAGCCAACGATCGATAGGGCGGCACAACGCGGTAGGCCCTTGCCAGATAAATTATGTGTACTGTATTGTAGCTACTATGACCCCCCTAATGGCAGCAGCACCGTCAACACACTACGGCTTAGCCACGAAGACGCCACCGTCATCCGTCTACAGCGACAGGAGGTGACAGGGGCAGGCATGCATGTCATTGCCGCATCCTCACCCACTCGCGTGATCACGCAGCTACACTCGCTGCATTAATGATCATCCTGCTGGGCAAGGGTAACGAAATAAAACGCCACCTTCCCATCCATTGCCCACACCCTTCATGGTGATTTGGGTACGGCTTTGAAAAGGTATGCCGCCGTGCGAGGATGGGAATCTCGGATACCTTTCCGCTGATATGCGGTACAGCTGAAGTAGGTAAGGCTGCTATCTGCCATGAGTCCGGAACGGCAGCAGGCATCTGGGTGTTGTGGGCGCTTTGTTGAGGAGGTCAGCTTGCGGTTGAAGGTGTCACCTTAGCCTTGATGCTGTATAGATTGGGAGTGACATGCGTGCGGTCTCATGTCCTATCGTTGGAAGCTGTGTTGATTGGCAGGTACACACACGCACGCGCTACCACTAAATAACCTTTACAGAAGCCACTCCACCCATTGAGCTGCTGGGGGAGGGGGTGCTTACTTCTTGTGGCGCGCCCGGCACGCTGGTAACATTCTCACATCTTTCACGGGTGGGGAAGTACTTAATTGTTAGTTCGGTGTTCCTCTGTACATCGGGGTACACATCCCCAGGAGGGTTAAATTGTTGCCGCCTGTGCACCTGTAGCTTGAACATGATGTGAATGATGAACACTAAAACTGACTCCTCGCCGCCCGCTGGCTCGTTCACAGCGTCAAGACCAGGTTGGTTCACCCTTAGCCATGGTTTGCAATTGCAATGGGCCTTCCTGGGGCCTCAAAAGGGGGTGCCGTACAGGGCTTAGGGGGCCCATTCATGTTCTGGTGAATTCCATTCACATCATTGTCATCCAGGGGATTTAGCTCAGTGGTAGAGCGCGCGCTTCGCATGCGTGAGGTCATGGGATCGATCCCCATAATCTCCAGTCATCCGTTTTGCGGCCAAACCAAAGACATGGTTCATCCTTTTTCCGCCCTAGCCTTGTATCGTACGTAAAAGCAACAATAAATGGGAGAGAGACAGCAATTAAAACCTTATGTATGTAGGTGCTGCATGCATGCCACTGTTCTTTAACGCACGGATGACCATGTCCGCATGTCCGCCCGACGGAGGTTATGGTGCTTGATTGGACACAGAGCGGGCTAGCCATGCGTGGATCCCAGCAGCGGACAACCATATGTTGGTGCGGCACGCTTGCTCCTCTTCTGGCCGCGGGGCCAGGTTGACATGCCCTGTTGACGGCTCGTGCGTGCATTTTGTCGGCAAGAAGAGCTTTCTTGCCTTTTGTTAAGAAAAGTAGCCGCTTTCTTGCCTTGTGTGTATGTTTGGGATAGGAGTTGTCGCTTTATGCTTCAGTGTGTTGTTTGTTCGCGGTCTGGTTAGTTGGTGTGGCGTATAACAGCCGTCAGTGCTCTTAGGCCGTGCGGCCCCCGGGCTCGGGGCTACCCTGCTCTGCTTGCAACATATGCAGGCATGTAGGACGGCAGTTGTTGCCCTTGCTTGTATGCACGCCTGTGCGTTGCCATACAATGCTACTGATTGGTCGGTCGATGGTCTTACCAGGAAGGCCTAGCTCTGGCCTGTGACTGACCTGATGGATTAGACAGCGGCCATGGGATAGTCCGCACCCCAGCGGCCATAGACGGCCAAGCCAACGATCGATAGGGCGGCACAACGCGGTAGGCCCTTGCCAGATAAATTATGTGTACTGTATTGTAGCTACTATGACCCCCCTAATGGCAGCAGCACCGTCAACACACTACGGCTTAGCCACGAAGACGCCACCGTCATCCATCTACAGCGACAGGAGGTGACAGGGGCAGGCATGCATGTCATTGCCGCATCCTCACCCACTCGCGTGATCACGCAGCTACACTCGCTGCATTAATGATCATCCTGCTGGGCAAGGGTAACGAAATAAAACGCCACCTTCCCATCCATTGCCCACACCCATGACGGTGGCGTCTTCGTGGCTAAGCCGTAGTGTGTTGACGGTGCTGCTGCCATTAGGGGGGTCATAGTAGCTACAATACAGTACACATAATTTATCTGGCAAGGGCCTACCGCGTTGTGCCGCCCTATCGATCGTTGGCTTGGCCGTCTATGGCCGCTGGGGTGCGGACTATCCCATGGCCGCTGTCTAATCCATCAGGTCAGTCACAGGCCAGAGCTAGGCCTTCCTGGTAAGACCATCGACCGACCAATCAGTAGCATTGTATGGCAACGCACAGGCGTGCATACAAGCAAGGGCAACAACTGCCGTCCTACATGCCTGCATATGTTGCAAGCAGAGCAGGGTAGCCCCGAGCCCGGGGGCCGCACGGCCTAAGAGCACTGACGGCTGTTATACGCCACACCAACTAACCAGACCGCGAACAAACAACACACTGAAGCATAAAGCGACAACTCCTATCCCAAACATACACACAAGGCAAGAAAGCGGCTACTTTTCTTAACAAAAGGCAAGAAAGCTCTTCTTGCCGACAAAATGCACGCACGAGCCGTCAACAGGGCATGTCAACCTGGCCCCGCGGCCAGAAGAGGAGCAAGCGTGCCGCACCAACATATGGTTGTCCGCTGCTGGGATCCACGCATGGCTAGCCCGCTCTGTGTCCAATCAAGCACCATAACCTCCGTCGGGCGGACATGCGGACATGGTCATCCGTGCGTTAAACAACAGTGGCATGCATGCAGCACCTACATACATAAGGTTTTAATTGCTGTCTCTCTCCCATTTATTGTTGCTTTTACGTACGATACAAGGCTAGGGCGGCAAAAGGATGAACCATGTCTTTGGTTTGGCCGCAAAACGGATGACTGGAGATTATGGGGATCGATCCCATGACCTCACGCATGCGAAGCGCGCGCTCTACCACTGAGCTAAATCCCCTGGATGACAATGATGTGAATGGAATTCACCAGAACATGAATGGGCCCCCTAAGCCCTGTACGGCACCCCCTTTTGAGGCCCCAGGAAGGCCCATTGCAATTGCAAACCATGGCTAAGGGTGAACCAACCTGGTCTTGACGCTGTGAACGAGCCAGCGGGCGGCGAGGAGTCAGTTTTAGTGTTCATCATTCACATCATGTTCAAGCTACAGGTGCACAGGCGGCAACAATTTAACCCTCCTGGGGATGTGTACCCCGATGTACAGAGGAACACCGAACTAACAATTAAGTACTTCCCCACCCGTGAAAGATGTGAGAATGTTACCAGCGTGCCGGGCGCGCCACAAGAAGTAAGCACCCCCTCCCCCAGCAGCTCAATGGGTGGAGTGGCTTCTGTAAAGGTTATTTAGTGGTAGCGCGTGCGTGTGTGTACCTGCCAATCAACACAGCTTCCAACGATAGGACATGAGACCGCACGCATGTCACTCCCAATCTATACAGCATCAAGGCTAAGGTGACACCTTCAACCGCAAGCTGACCTCCTCAACAAAGCGCCCACAACACCCAGATGCCTGCTGCCGTTCCGGACTCATGGCAGATAGCAGCCTTACCTACTTCAGCTGTACCGCATATCAGCGGAAAGGTATCCGAGATTCCCATCCTCGCACGGCGGCATACCTTTTCAAAGCCGTACCCAAATCACCATGAAGGGTGTGGGCAATGGATGGGAAGGTGGCGTTTTATTTCGTTACCCTTGCCCAGCAGGATGATCATTAATGCAGCGAGTGTAGCTGCGTGATCACGCGAGTGGGTGAGGATGCGGCAATGACATGCATGCCTGCCCCTGTCACCTCCTGTCGCTGTAGACGGATGACGGTGGCGTCTTCGTGGCTAAGCCGTAGTGTGTTGACGGTGCTGCTGCCATTAGGGGGGTCATAGTAGCTACAATACAGTACACATAATTTATCTGGCAAGGGCCTACCGCGTTGTGCCGCCCTATCGATCGTTGGCTTGGCCATCTATGGCCGCTGGGGTGCGGACTATCCCATGGCCGCTGTCTAATCCATCAGGTCAGTCACAGGCCAGAGCAGGCTAGGCCTTCCTGGTAAGACCATCGACCGACCAATCAGTAGCATTGTATGGCAACGCACAGGCGTGCATACAAGCAAGGGCAACAACTGCCGTCCTACATGCCTGCATATGTTGCAAGCAGAGCAGGGTAGCCCCGAGCCCGGGGGCCGCACGGCCTAAGAGCACTGACGGCTGTTATACGCCACACCAACTAACCAGACCGCGAACAAACAACACACTGAAGCATAAAGCGACAACTCCTATCCCAAACATACACAAAAGATAGAACACGCACACAAGGCCAGACAGCTCTTCTTGCCAACAAAATGCACGAGCCGTCAACAGGGCATGTCAACCTGGCCCCGTACTCAGGAGAGAAGCAAGCGTGCCGCACCAACATATGGTTTGGGATTAGGGATGTGAATTTTACAGTAAACGGGTTTTGGGGGACTGTAATTACGTAACTGTAATCTGTAATTACTGTAAGACACTGTAATTACACCCCAAAATGCCGCCACGGGGAAAGTGTAAATTACAGTGCCGTACCACTTGTACGGCATGCCTTAAATACCTCTAAATCACGACCAAACGTGGTATTTCTTGCACCATGACTTCCCTCTATCATTGTAGAAGCAGAGACCGGCAAATATTGGGCATTGGCGGCATTTCAGCTTACCTGCTGTTTCCAATGTCCATTGGCATTGTACAAGTGAAGCGGCACGTACGGTCCCAAACTGCCAGACATGGTTGTCTAATCCCCTTATTGCTATATTGGTTAAGAAGAGAACTGAGCTTACGTAGTTTCCTGTGCCCCCGGTTGTCCATCAAGCCATCCATGTACATGGATGGACATGGCAGTTGGTTCTTATGACCACGTGAAGGTACCGCGACCACCCACGAACTGCTTATAAGGCACCTGAACACGTTTTGGTGGCTTTCTGGGCAGTACTGACACCACTTTCATTGCAAAAACGGCAAGAAACACACCGTGCCCCATTGGTCATATACACCCCATACACTTTTCGGACCTCCTAGGTAGTGTAATTACGTAAAGGGCCAAAACTGTAAATTAAGGTACCTTCAGGGGGAAATTTACGTAATTACGTAACTTGTAATCTGTAATTTTACGTAACTGTAATTCTGTAACTCGCAACCCTATTTGGGATCCACGCATGGCTAGCCGTCCAATCAAGCACCATAACCTCAGTCGGGCGGACATGCAGACATGGCCATCCGTGCTTTAAAGAAGAGTGGTATGCATGCAGTATCTACATAAGGTTTTAAGTGCTGTCTCTCTCCCATCTATTGTTGCTTTTACGTACGTTACAAGGTTATGGCGGAATAAGGATGAACGTGTTCTACAGGCTGTCCGTGTTGGGAAACATTTGGACTGTTTTCCATGCAGCGGCTCCCAAAACCAATATCCTATTTCAATTTATTTCACACAAACAACCGTACTGACCTGTTAGGATACACATTTTTCACCGACACAACGGGTACCGATACCATACAACATGCTCCAACATTCCTCGTACATGTCTACCACACAAACAACCGCACTCCAAACTCCATCCTGCCACACCTAGCAACCGTGCACACAGCGCACCCCAGCGCTAGAACAGCAACAACCCACACAGCAACAACCCACGCGCAACTATCTCCGTCCTCCATCCTCCGCCCTACTCCCTCAAGCCATCGCGATGGCAGCATCCACGCCCTGCTCGGCCGAAGCCAGCGCCTGCGCCTTGCGGCGCCGCTCCAGCACCGCCAGCGCCACATGCGCCGCGCGGCGGCCGCTCACAATCATCGCGCCGAAGGTGGGGCCCATGCGCGGCGAACCATCCACCTCCGCCAGCTCCATGCCCGCCAACACCATGCCCGGCACCACCTCACGGGTGCCGCCCACGATAGCACCCTCGGCAGCCTCCATGTCCAGGGCACCCATGCCGGGCACCTCACCGCCGGGGACCATGCCCAGGCGCGCCAGGCGCTTCACGCCTGGGGGAGGGGAAATGAGGTTACACAGTGGCGGTTATACAGTGGTGTGGGTTCTCAAGGACTTTCTGGATCCGCGAAATAGCTGTTTTGGTGTAGTACGATGTGTGTTGATACACACTGCGAGAGGCGAGGAAAAACGCAGCCACCTAGCGGCAGCACCATCAGTGCAGCATCAGCAGCGACCCAGTACAGCATGTTGCTCCTGTTGCTGCACTGAATGATGCGTCCATAACCAAAATCTGTAGTGTAGCTGTAGTTACACTTCACTAGCTGTAGCAACACTACTCACAGGTGGCTCCGAAGGGGCCGTCATGGCCGCACGCCGACACCACGACGCCGGCCTCGATGACGTTGGGGTCCATGCAGCTCTGCGTACCGTGCGCCTGGGCCACCAGCGACCAGTTGGTCACCACGCCAGCCACGCGGCGCGCTCCCGATCCGCGGGTCTTGTCCGGCTTCACCACCAGGTCCTCAACCGCGGTGGCGTTGAAGAGCTTGACGTTGGGGTTCTGCGAGCGGTTGCAGGGAGGTGTGAGGGGGAGGCGTTGAACTGGAGTCAAAAACAGCGGAAGGAATACGAGGCGGGGACAAAACTTTATGGGACATTTCGAGGGTGACGGTCCATGTACAAGCACGTAGATCGTACATCGCAAGGCGCCATTACGCAGGGACAGCTAAGGCGCGGGACGGGCGCTCGAACGTTCCCGCTTAAAGCAGCAGCATCAAGAGGCAAGGGATGCCATTCCAGCAGATGTCATGCCTTACCCCACCGCCTTCCCCAACTATCGACGCTGAATCACGTACGCACGTACCTTCAGCACGTGGCTCATGAGGGTTGACGTCAGCAGGGCCGCGTGCCGTACCACCACGTAGTGGCCCTCGTCCTCGTACGGCACCTGATGGTACAATCAGCGACGCGTCACACCATGCCATGCAGGGAAGGGAATCCCACGTCATCAATTGTCGCGATGTACGATCCAGCTGAAAGCGCTCGACTTGATTCCTCAAACCCACGAACCAGGACCTCTTACCCGTGCTCACCTCGCTCCCCACCTTCCCCTACCACTCCCCAACCGCCCGCTCCCACTCCCCATCCTATCCCCCCTCTCCACGCGGCTCAACTATGCGGCCCCCGGGACCCACCTGCAGCTCGTCCAGCATGAGGTGCGCGGGCTTGCGAACCACCATGGCAGAGAACAGCTGGCCGCCCAGCCACGCGCCGCCGCCGGGAGCCACGCTCTGCTCCAGCAGCGCAACCTGGGTAACAGGGAAGGCACGGGGAAGGAGGGGCCCGTGAGGGGAACCCGAGTGCCACGTGGTGGATGCGACATAGTACAGCACAGCACCGCATAGCACGGCACATGGTCATAGGAGCAAGGGTAGGGAAGGTCCGGATCGTGGCAAGGCGCACAGCAAGTACAGCTAAGTTGGGATCAACAGCGAGCTTGCACCAAGCGCGGATGTATCATCACGCATGAGACAGCGGCGGTGGGGCCCCAGCCCTTCCACGCCGCATCCGCATTCACAGCGCCCACGCGCGCCATCCCCGTCACAGCCTAGCTCAGACAAACCATCTCAGCCCACACACCCCATCCTAACCCCTCCCCTAGCCCACCTTGAGGTGCGGCGCCACCTTGCCCAGCTCGTAGGCGCACGCCAGCCCCGCCGAGCCCGCTCCCACGATCACCACGTCGCTCTCAGCGAACTCGTCCATGTCACGGAAGTAGCGACGCGTCATGGCGCGGTTGACCTGCGGTGAGAGGTGGGAAGCGGGAGGAAAAGGGCGGCGGGCGGGGGAGATGGGAAGTTGTTAGTTAACGGGCAAAGGGAGGAAGGAGAGGGAGCCTTGGACAATGAGCTCTTGCGCAAGCATCAAACGAGGTGGCATGTAGGAAGTACTACTAAGGAAATTTCTAAACAGCAACTGAACAATAGATATGGTTCGGGATGACGCGCTGTTGCCGAGCGAGGGATAAGCGTGCCCTACCAACATGTGCCACACGGCCGAATCCACCCCTTGATCACACTCCCCAACATCCTACCCCCCTTCCATACGAAGGGGCCCCGCATACCTCAGCCTCACGAATAGGCGCGAAGGTGTAGTCATCATAGGGGGTAGTAATGGGAGGCAGGCCGGCACGCGCCAGCAGCGAGGCGGAGTCCAGGGAGGGGGAGGCGCCGCTGTCAGGCTGGATGAGCGGCTGCGCGACACGGGTGACCAGGCGGGTGGCACGGGGTGCCTGCGTGGCCTTGCGGGAGGCGGCGGCCGTGGCGGCGGTACGGCGAGTGGTGATCATGGAGAGGGCCATGTTGACGTGGAGGGGGACTTGGAAGAGTGTAGAAGACCTGCGGGTAGAAAGGGCTGCAAAGAGAAAGGGAGAGGAGGGAGAGGCGGAGGCGGAGGAGGCAGGCGGAGAAAGGGGAGGCGGCGGAGGGGCAGAGAGGCAGGCGGAGGTGGCCAGCATGGGGTGGACGACCACGCCAGGGGAGCTCACATTGTTCGAAACTACGCCTTTGTTGGTTGTGTAAGCAACAGAAGAGCGGAGCGGTTGAGATATAGTTTTGATACCCATCTTACAAGCAATATCTCTTTACAGCTGCATGGTCCGTCGCATATCGTAAGCAACCTCCAAGCCCTGACCTATCGTACAAAGCAAAACACTTGCGGCCACACCTACCGACAGTCCGGGCCGACAGGAGTTCAGCGTAGGCGTCGGGCCGGAGGGCGAAAGGGTCCAAAGCCACTGAGCTTTTAGGGAAGGTTACAGGGCAGAAGGGAGGGAGGGCAGCGGCGGCGAGGCGGGAATGGCCCGCACACGCACGCGCGCGAACAAAACCACACTCCCGTCGCGGGCATTATCCCGATCCGGTCATGAGGGTATGATCTCAGCCGCCTGTAACTTCAGCACAAGTAGCGCGAGCGCGGGGCCCTGACGGCGCAGCCATGACCAATGCCGAACGCAAGAGCGTTGTATGGAAGGGTCTAAATGGCAGGCACATTCAGGGCTAACCGGTCGGCGTAGCTTGGCGAACATTAACAGGCGGCACCCCTGGGGTTGTCGGCGCGAGGTCTTCAGTACGAGGCAGATCGTGGAAGATTGCGTAACGCTCGGACAAATTAGCAGGCAACAGGGATAAATCCACGATACAATGAATTACAGACTGATGTAGATGGCAATGGAGGATTGTAAGAACAGCAACGTGTCGGAGGCGAGAGGCGTGTGGTAGGATGCCGTCATGCGAAGACATGGCATCGGTCTGGCAAATAGTGTTAGGCCCACTGAGACATAACAATCACAGAAGGCGAGTGCTAAGCAAGTGCGTCGATAGCTCACAGGGCAGCTGCGTAACGCACGGCCTCTACAACAGCGCTAGCGAGCGTCGATCAAACAGGGGGAGACAGTCGCAGATCCCAGCCGCCTACCGCCTACCCAAACAACTAAAGCCTCCAAGCGTCCCTTTGGCATACCTTTGCGATACCGAAGCGCAGTCCTGGCACAGGCAACCGGAACTTGAATATCGATGATCTAGCGCGATTATCTCAGAAACAAAGCCGAGTGAAATCCGAAGTGCAATGGTGCCTATTTATACTCTGCAGTACGTGTCCAACATGATCCATCCCGGCAAAGCTTTGGACGGCGAGCCGTACATTACGCTAGCGTACGCACGCTGATGCTATCACAGGGCCTTATTAGCGCCCAACAGCCGTTATGACCTAGTCTGTTCTTGGTGTGGTAGATCTATGTGTTAAGTCGGGGGTGATTGGTGATCGCCGTTATGCAAGCTTGCATTACACAACTTTACCGGTAGTGTTAGGTTCCTCATTTTGGCAGGCATAGCTACGTTCGCGTGTACTGGGGCTTTGCGTCAGTAAGGCAGCCAGCTGCTGGTGCGGCCGGCCGCGGGCGGTTCTTATTGTCGGTAACACTTCTCTTAAACCCAGTGTCCTTCGAGCTTCGGCAAAGAAAGTTTCCAGAAACTTACGTGCCGTAGCAAAGGGGGTTCGCAGAACAAGCAGTATTTTGCTGTCCTTGCTGAAACCTTGCTAGGCCACTGCCTTACAGAAGCATGCTGAAGCGATATGTGAATAGTAAAGCGAGCCTCCTTTGCATGACCATCCCTGGGGTTCTGTTCATCGCAAATATCATATTGTCCAAAGCTCCTTACTCGGCTGCGAATTGCGTGAACGAACGAGGGCTAGAAAACTAGGAGGACGTCAATCTGGGGCTGCCATTATAAGACATCTGAAATTGCTTTAACAGGTGCTAAGGGGTTTTGGGGTAGGAGATATATACTTTACCGTTAGGTATCAGAACGAAGGTTCTCGGGTACATCCCTATGATTGTAATGATATCGGCAGCTGCCCCTGGCGGCCGATGGATTATCTTGCTTCAAAAAGGCGACCTCTGGAAATTTCTGGCGCAATTTCGTGCTAACCGTGGGATCAGAGGAGACAGGCATGGACTTGCAGCAGCCAGCGCCTACCGGGTAGGTCTGGCCCCGTTGCCAGCCCCAAAACCACGAGAAAAGATAAAAGCGTTTCCCATTTCGCCATCATGTTGCCTGTATGCCCTGCGCTAAGGACAAGCGCTCCCAAGTACGCTCGGTCCACATGACGTGCCCAGGACGGGGAAGGTACAGAGACCACACTGCTCATTAAGATGCAAAATCTGTAGATGCAAAATCTGTAGATTTTGAAGTCACGCGTTTAATATTTCGCCCAGGGACTGCTACTGTACGATGATAAATTTTAGCTCCGGAACCGTCCAGGAAGGATCGCACGAAACAAAGCGAAACCAATTGGAAACGTCGATATATGGCAAGGGGTATGAACGTATGAAAAGAGCAACGCCACATATGAATATTATGTGGAGAACGACGTCGGAAGGTGCGTGCCGAGCTTTGGACACGACAGCAGGGAAGCTCACGACACAAAATGCAAGGGCGAGTGTAGGTAATGTGGTTTAAGGCGGCGCGGAGGAAGGGCAGTACGCCGGAAACGTGAATGGGCAGAGAAGGCTTGTTACTGCCTGAGAAGCGGCACAGAGGAACGTGAAACACAAGAGAGCATTGTAGTATTGTACACCTGAATAGCACAAAGGTGTTATGTAACAACATTAACGGATGCGTGCTGGTGCACTCGTCGTCCAAGCGCATGCTCATGAGCTGAGAAGTGTGCACCTTGCGCTGCGAAGGCTTGAGCCGCGCAGCCCTATCTATGACATTTCGCAGCAAAGAGAGTACACAAGCGTGGCAAAGGTCAGGCAGAACTGGTTGAGCAACGTACTGGCTTCGCTCTTTCGGGCTGGGCGGGTCGGGCTGGCTCACATGTTGCAACCCATGTTGACGCCTTTTCCCTCAGTCAGTTAGTTGTTTCCTCTTTATCCCCCCTCAACCCTACCTCTACCACCCCACCTTCGCCTCACCAGCCCCCACCAACCTGCTACACCACCACCAGTATGTTCCTACTCGCGGCCAGTTTTCTTACCACCATCTTGGACACGCTTTGGGATACATTCCTCGCCTTTGAGGAGCAGCCCACCGCAAATGCACGCCTTACTCGCCACTTCCTTGCCAATGCAACCAGTCGTGCTCAGTGCCGGCAACGCTCCGCACAACGGCTTGCAGCCTCGCAGGAGGAGGAGGAGGATGACGCCCATGATGCCGCGCTTCTTGCTTTAGCTGCCGTGATGCGTTACAGCAGATAATGTAAGCCGAAGTCAACCAGCCGTACGTCGCCTCCACACCAAGAACCCCAACCCTAACCCACACATCCCGACGCCCCAACCCATGTTTAAGATGCACTAGTGGCCGATTGTGCTGACAGCACCCAGTGTTGCACCTCGATTGCCGGTTGACCCCCTTAATTGAGGGACCGGCTTCTAAGAGCCCCTCCAAACTAGTTGTCCTACTCGAGACGAAACGCAAGCAAACCCCCACTCGCTAGGCGCGACCTCGGGCGGGTGGGTGGGACCTAGGCGGCCACAATCCCGGCAGAGGGATGGCCACCCGATACTATCAATCACAACGGCAGTTAAAAGCACAAACGCGTGGGCAGCCCTGATAGGCTGGGTCGATTTGCCATCGCTGTCGTACACCCATGCAAGCGCGCCATCTGCTTCCACGCACCACGGCAGCTAGCAAGAAACCTACTTCTTCAGTCATACTTCCTTACAGAAGTGGCATCTCCTTCAAGGTGTTGTACACCTCGACCCTTTTCTGATGAGTACGCAGACCTCGCTGCCCAAATCAATGATGACGACGCCCCCGATGCTCATCCCCCTGAAACCTCTCCGCTACCCGCCGCCTCCAGCGCCCCCACTGATCTTCCTGCCTCCCTGGACACCCTCGCCCGCCTACGCTCAATGACCACCACCGCCTCCCTCCCCAACCTTACCGACACTCGCCTTCTATCCTATGTGGCTCGTGCCGTTGAGCGCATCCCTTTGGCTACACCGGGTACTACTCCACACACTCCGAGCTCTGCTTCCCACCCTAGTCCCCAAAGCGCTGTTCCCCACGAACACGCTTCACATATCTTCTTTATTGCTCGCCTTCCATGCGACCCTCCTTGCAATGCCATCCCAACTTCCGCCCGTACGGAACCATTCCAGGTACGTGCCTTGTACATGCGCACTATCGGGCCCCCACCACCGACCGGCCGCACGATACCGGTACTTCCGCCCTTCAGACTACCGGTACGTCCCTGCCGTACCACTCCTACAGCGATCGAGCCCTCTGTGACGCCTCTCAACCGTTCCTTCGTACCTTTCACCTCAGCTCTAGTTCAACGGCGCCTTTCATCTGCACCCATCTTTAAACCATCGCTTCGCATGTCCCCTCGTACGCTCCTCACCCTATTTAACGCCCCTCTACCTCCTCCATGCCACCGTCTTCCTTCCCGTGCTTTCGATACCTTGCCTCCCTTGCCTACCCTCACTGCGCCACTACAACCTGTCCACCACCAAACCCACCGCTATGCATGACAAGTTCCGGCCACTTCATAGCACCTCTGGCCATGCCATAAAGCATGAGGACAACCACCTCCTCGCCCACAAGGTGGTGGGCCACCACTTCGTAAGCTCATGCCACCCAGCTGCAACTTCACAAACCCTCTTCTCAGTCCTTCCCTGCCTCCCTCTGCATTTACCCCCCCCCTTTCAGACTCACGGTACCACCCACACTGCCTCTGTGCTCAGCGTGACGATCCCCAGCCATGGCCCCAGCATGGACATTGACCCTCGCCTGCAAGTACCCGTTCGCTGTGACAAGATCATGGGCCGGATCAACGACCGCGACCTCGTGGCCGTCCTTGACTGGCACAATAACCCCGGCGGCCTCCATCACTCCGCCGCCCCAACAGCAGCGGCCGCGCTGCCAGCGATTTCACGTACTCCATCCTGCTCAGCACAGCACCCCAGCACAGCACCCTGCTCTTCATGCGCCTCGAAATCCAGTTCTCCATCTCCTTTGCCCTATCCCTCCAGCCATCTACCGCTCCAATGCTTCCTCACCTCTCTCCTGTATATTCACCCTCCACCTCAGATCACCGGCGCTGCCATCAAGCGCGGCCCCACCCCTGACCCCGCGGTCGGCCTCACCATCAGCATCGGCCCCAACACCTCTCCGCCCCCGCCCTCTGGCGCCACGGCTGCATGTTGATCAACGCGAAGGCTGGCAGTTCCCTTGCTGGCGACGACGACACCTTCTCCCTCGTCGCGGACCACGAGTGCGCTATCATGCCCATTAAGTCAAGCAACACCCTCCTCCTGTCGGTCCTTACCCACCCCAATGTCATCCCCCTCGTCACCCCCTTTGGCGACCCGCTTGGTACGACCTTCAGCAGGACTGTCACCGGCGCCTTCCTGCCGCAAGCCCACAACCCGCTGCACGCTGGGTAAGCTGCCATCACCCTTCCCCTTCTACACCCCCCTTCAGGTTGACATACCGCACTTCCTTCCTTGTGCTCTGCACTAATACTTGTGCTGCTCTCGTGTGGCACAATTGGGTTAGGCGTGTGTTGGCCGCGAGTCGAGCGGACTGTGCTTGCCCCATAAGGTGGAGTCCAGTCCGTTGGCTATGTAGTCAAACAGCTATCGAGTAGATGTGTTGTGAACGGTTCACTCGTACTGGGCGGTTGAAGTTTTAGTGCGCCTGCGCCGGCAATAGCTTCCCGCTTTCATTACGCATGTTCACGCCGCCAACTAGCTTATTTTATAACACCTTCGATTTGCATCTACGTGTTGCCTTATTTCGTTGTACTCTTAGTTTTTCCAAACTTCCCATGGCAATGTCCCATGTCTCCGATGCTAAGGGGCATGGTTCAGTATTGTCCCAGCCACCGCCCAGTGAATAAACGCTACTAAAGGACGCACTAGGCCTACCCCTATGTAAACACCCTCGCACCACCAGCTTGGCTATCCTCCCCTACATCCGCACACCACACACTACCTGCAATCAACAGATTTTGCCCTCTCACCCGACCAAAGGGAGGCTTGATTTTGAAGTCACGCGTTTAATATTTCGCCCAGGGACTGCTACTGTACGATGATAAATTTTAGCTCCGGAACCGTCCAG